AATTCAAAATTAACGACTTTTAAATTGATTAATTTACTCTAAATATTATTGAATAAAAAAATCAAATTTGTATTATCTGAATGAATAAATGATAATTTAATAAACAATTATTTTATGATTTTAAAAAATATAAAATGAAAAAAATGATAATAAGATAAATTAAAAATGATAGAAAAAAAAAAACTAAAATAAACATTAAGAACAAAAAAGTTAAAATAAATAGTAAAACTTGATTTCTCCCTGAGGTTTTATTTAAATCATAGCATCTAATTTATCAAGATAAATAAAAAAAGGATAAAAATATGATTGATGCATAAGATTTAAGATTAAAATATAACTGGCATATAAAGTTTGGCATTTATATAATTTAATAAGATGTAATATAACACTAAAAGTTTCAAATTGTTTGATCATTTTTGGAGAAACCAGAGAGTTTGCTTAAGAGCATTTAATTTTTTATTTTTTATAAATAATTTATTTACTTACAAAAATATGAATGATATTTATAAATATAAAATCAATAATAAAATCTATTTATATTTATATTTTAGGTTTAAATTTTTTTCAAAATATTAAATAATATTATTCAAACATTTTATATTTATTCATCCTTTTTTCACCAGTTGTTTATCAGAAATTAAAGACAACTAATCTTTTTGATTTACGACACTTGCTTATTTCTTTGAATATTTATGATTCATTCATTAAGTTATAACTTTTATAATAAATTTGTGTAAATTATTAATAAATATCAAAATAGAATAAACTTTTAAATTAAAAATTATTCTTTAAATTAATAAATAAAATAATATTAGTTGAATAAAAAAGATAAAAAAATAAAATAAATAAAAGCTATCAAATAAATTCAAAGAGCTTTTTTGTTTTATATTAATTTTTTTGTTTAAAATATCACAATCCAAAACAAATAAACTGTTTTTACCAAAGATTAAGTGTCAAATTTGAGAGATTAATGCAATTTGCTAAAGCAGAGCCTAAGCCTGATGCACCCATTGCACCAATTTAATTGTCACTTTTTAAATATTGAAGAAAAAATATATCATTAAATAGTTAATTAGAAGGAAAAAATGAAGAAAAAATATGAAATAATAAATAAGATTAATTAATTAATAATAAAAGCAAAATTTGAAAATAAAATGATGAGCTAAATTAACAAAGAAAGAAAGAACAAAAAAAGCAAGCACAATAAAAAGAAAAAGAAAAAAGAGCTTTGTTGTTTTAAATTAGTTTTTATAATTAAAAATATCACAATCCAAAACAAATAAACTGTTTTTACCTAAGGTTAAGTGTCAAATTTGAGAGATTAATGCAATTTTCTAAAGCAGAACCTAAGCCTGATGCACCCATTGCACCAATTTAATTGTCACTTTTTAAATATTGAAGAAAAAATATATCATTAAAATAGTTAATTAGAAGGAAAAAATGAAGAAAAAATATGAAATAATAAGATTAATTAATTAATAATAAAGGCAAAATTTGAAAATAAAATGATGAGCTAAATTAACAAAAGAAAGAAAGAAAGAAAGAAAGAAAGAAAGAAAGAACAAAAAAAGCAAGTACAATAAAAAGAAAAAGAAAAAAGAGCTTTGTTGTTTTAAATTAATTTTTATAATTAAAAATATCACAATCCAAAACAAATAAACTGTTTTTACCAAAGATTAAGTGTCAAATTTGAGAGATTAATGCAATTTGCTAAAGCAGAACCTAAGCCTGATGCACCTTCATTGCACCAATTTAATTGTAACTTTTTAAATATTGAAGAAAAAATATATCATTAAATAGTTAATTAGAAGGAAAAAATGAAGAAAAAATATGAAATAATAAATAAGATTAATTAATTAATAATAAAAGCAAAATTTGAAAATAAAATGATGAGCTAAATTAACAAAGAAAGAAAGAACAAAAAAAGCAAGTACAATAAAAAGAAAAAGAAAAAAGAGCTTTGTTGTTTTAAATTAGTGTTTATAATTAAAAATATCACAATCCAAAACAAATAAACTGTTTTTACCGAAGATTAAGTGTCAAATTTGAGAGATTAATGCAATTTGCTAAAGCAGAACCTAAGCCTGATGCACCTTCATCACCAATTTAATTGTAACTTTTTAAATATTGAAGAAAAAATATATCATTAAATAGTTAATTAGAAGGAAAAAATGAAGAAAAAATATGAAATAATAAATAAGATTAATTAATTAATAATAAAAGCAAAATTTGAAAATAAAATGATGAGCTAAATTAACAAAGAAAGAAAGAACAAAAAAAGCAAGTACAATAAAAAGAAAAAGAAAAAAGAGCTTTGTTGTTTTAAATTAGTTTTTATAATTAAAAATATCACAATCCAAAACAAATAAACTGTTTTTACCCAAGATTAAGTGTCAAATTTGAGAGATTAATGCAATTTGCTAAAGCAGAACCTAAGCCTGATGCACCTTCATCACCAATTTAATTGGCACTTTTTAAATATTGAAGAAAAAATATATCATTAAATAGTTAATTAGAAGGAAAAAATGAAGAAAAAATATGAAATAATAAATAAGATTAATTAATTAATAATAAAAGCAAAATTTGAAAATAAAATGATGAGCTAAATTAACAAAGAAAGAAAGAAAGAAACAAAGAAAGAAAGAAAGAAAGAACAGCAAGTACAATAAAAAGAAAAAGAAAAAAGAGCTTTGTTGTTTTAAATTAGTGTTTATAATTAAAAATATCACAATCCAAAACAAATAAACTGTTTTTACCGAATATTAAGTGTCAAATTTGAGAGATTAATGCAATTTGCTAAAGCAGAACCTAAGCCTGATGCACCCATTGCACCAATTTAATTGAAACTTTTTAAATATTGAAGAAAAAATATATCATTAAATAGTTAATTAGAAGGAAAAAATGAAGAAAAAATATGAAATAATAAATAAGATTAATTAATTAATAATAAAAGCAAAATTTGAAAATAAAATGATGAGCTAAATTAAAAAAGAAAGAACAAAAAAAGCAAGTACAATAAAAAGAAAAAGAAAAAAGAGCTT